CTGTCAGAATTAGGAGTCCCTTGCCCTGCATGTAAATAGCCGTGTCCAGTTCCATCCCAGCTAATCGCTGAGAGTGAGTTCATTTGCATATCTATAGCTACTTCGGGCTCTCGAGCTTGAAGTGGGTCATTGGGAGGACCCATGAATTTGCCATCTTGTTAAATCTGTTGTAGCCTATTTTGTGTGGATTGGAACAAAGCTTGGGTGTGGAAATGAAAAACAATCCATCCCTGTCCTGTCTTCAGGGGTAGGGCACGAAGTGATCCACCAAACCAACCCCCATCAGGAAACTACTGCTTCTCCTCTTAAATGATAATTTTCATCCCACTCCCCAAAAATGCCAAGGGAAAAATGGATCATGTTGTGATCATGGGAGTTTTGTGACAAAACCCTCTCAAAGAAAATGTTTGTCTCTAATTGTTTTGCATTTCCATAATGCTAGTATGATAAAACCATCTTCTCTTTCTCCTTTATTTTTCAATCATGATTAGGCTTTAATGTTGTTAAAGCTTACAAGTGAGTTTGAGCCACTGTCTTGTTGAAGAGAAGATGGAGCTGAAATTTTCAGTGAGGCATTGGACAGGGTTTTTAATGTGTCTGTCATTATATGTTAACCTCTGAACTGGGACACGACGTCTGTTTTATGGCTGACAACAATTTAAAAGTATACATCTTGACATGGTGGATAAAGGAAGAAGGGGGAGTGGGGAAGAAAAAAAGAATTAATGATGTTAGCAAATATTAGTCCCTGTATTTCCATTCTGTTCCGAAAGTGGTTGTCAGGCTTTGAGGCTGCCTGGAGCAGCATTGCCAGTGACAGCCAGCCAGGATGCCATTGTCCCTTGGATCAAGCCGGGCTCTTATTGACAAATGCAGTGCGCTGAGGCAGGGACAGGGATGCTCCACTGTGTGTTCCTGGAGGAGTGTGGCTTTTCTCCTGGTATTCCTGGTGACATTGGAGAAGGATAGTTCTGGGCTTAGTGGAGTTCCTTGTGCCAGTCCCTGAGCCTGTCTGGAGTCAGGGGGGTAGAAGATGTCTCTTCAGGAGGACGTTTGCTGCCTGCTGAAGCCCACATTTGCCTGTGATTTATGCTGGTTTTGGCCAGCCAGACCCACCCACCAAAGTCACAGGAGCAGTGACTTTGACATCAGCCTTAATTGTAAACCAGCCAGAGTCAGTGGGCAAGGGGGAAACATGAGAAATTTCACTGTTTGAGGCATGTCTTACACTTCTCTATCATCTTGTTCCCTGTTTCTTATATGCCACTGCCTGTGCTTTGGCACACAAGTGCAGTCCTCCAAGGTGTCCTCACGTGCTGTCACAAATTTCTCATTATTCCCACAGTTTTTATCTGGCATGGAGCAATGTCTTTATGGAGTCCACAGCAATTTTGCCTTTCCTACAGCACCTCTTTTGCATGGTCCAACTGTGGATGCTCCTACTGTCATCTCCCTTAGATTCAGGTTCCAAATTATGGAAGCCCTGGATCATGCTATTCCTTAACTATTATTAGTTCCATGTGCATCTGCAGTGCTTCTGGACAGTGCTGCCAGCAGTGAAAGAAATGGAGCTGGCTTAATTGAGAGCCACATAGTTAATTATTAGTGCCTTTTTAACGGAGGAGACAGGAAATTTGCAGTGTCAGTTTTTAATTTCATTGTGGTTTGCGGGGTAATGTGACTTTAAACTCATGAGTCATTACCTGCATATAAGTAGCCCTAAAAGCTTTCTTTTGCTGTAAAAATTTCAAAAGATTTAAGAAGGAAAAGGGCATCTGCGTGTTACTGATCCCTTCAGCCAGGATGAGCAACAAATAAAAACACCAGTTTGTGTCAGTGCTGTCAGTAGCTGTGACGTGATTTGGAGGGAACTGCTGCTTCTTGCTCCCCTTTTGTGTCACTGAGTTTGGAACATCATGCTCAGATATTGCATGGAAGTTCTGGCAGGCTGGGCAGCAAGGATTTTGGAAGTGGGCAGATGAGCTCATGGATAGGCAGGTTGTCAAAGACAGCTGGAAAGAAACCAGTTTGTTTCTCTCTGCATTGAGAGGGACCAGTTTGTGTCTGCATTGAAACAAACCAGTTTGTATCTGCCTTGAGAGAAACTGGTTCGTGTCTGCATTGAAACAAACCAGTTTGTATCTATGCTGCCGCAGAATTAACTCTTTTGGGAAGCCTGGACACATTCCCCTTTGAAAGCTCCCTGAGGATGAATGGTGGAGCCTTGTCTCTGTCTTCATGGCTAAATACTGAGAAAACAGAATCTTTTCCTGGACCTTCTTCGTAAACTTGTTCTACGTATCAAGGACTGTGATGGAATAAGCTTGCTTCAACATTCATAAATTGAATATTGGATTACCTATTTCTGTGTGAAAGAGATGAGATAAAAGCTACTTGGACAAAGTAACTTGTATATAGATTAAAATCCAGAGAAGTTTTTGCCTGAGTGTTTTTGGGAGAGCCTTTATCACTAAGTTTCCCAATGACCTTATGTGTACTCAATCAACGTGATTAATCTTTGGTAGAAATGCATTCATTGTGCAAAGAAGGTGAACTTAATGTTAGAAATCTTTTTTTTTTTTTTTTTTTTTTAACAATTTCTGCCTCTAGAAAGATTAAATGTATTTTTTCAAATGTTTTTTCTGACTTGGGGGAAAAAAGCACTAACCAAGACCTAGAGTGGGAAGAGATAAAAGAATATAGATTAAAAATTTTTTGCAGTTTCTGACACTGATTGGATGCCCATCTCTGTATCAAACAGGATAGACTAATAGTAAGTATAGCTTCATTGTATAGGAATAACTCTTCTGTGCACTTTCAGGTGATCTGAAATTAATTTTATTTTATTAGTGAAATCGAAGTAATTGATGGACAGTAAGGTTCCCTGCTAAATAATTTTTTAAGAGGGGCACTGCACTGTTAAGACTCTGAAGCCCTTTGCCTTGAAGAAGGAGAACTTCATGTCACTTTCTACTCTAAATTAGAGAGAGCCTACTTGCCATGGAATAGTCTTCAAAGCCAATTTCCTTTCCTTTCCTTATAAAGAAGTTTGTCTGTGATATCTGCAAACCTAATGTTATGGGTTTGGGCTGGTACAGGAGAACTGAAAGGTGGAGCTGGGTTGGCTCAAGCTGGGCACAATGTAAAAGTGAATGTATTATAGGGAGCTAGTACATTGATTTAAAACAAAAGCAACCTGAGGAGCAGGAAGAAAGACAAAAGTATATTTTATGAAAAGAAAATCTACATCTTTCTAAGTAGAATTCTGATGGTACAGCAATGCTTTTGGTTGTAATGAAGGGATGAGATGGGATGGAGCACCTCTCCTATGAGGAAAGGCTGAGAGAACTGGGATTGTTCAGCTTGGACAAGAGAAAGCTGCAGGGTGATCTAATTGTGGCCTTCCAGTAGCTGAAGGGAACCTACAAGAAAGAGGCTGAAAGACTATTTACAATGGCTGGAGTGACAGGACAAGGGGGAATGACCTCAAATTGAAAGAGAGTAGGTTTAGATTAGATATCAGAAAAAAATTCTCTCCTGTTGTTGGGAAGGATGAAAGTTTGCCAAGGAAGTCTCACACATATGTATGCTTGGCAGAAAGATTTTTGCATGTAGAATCTGAAGAAGGAATAGAAATGAAAGCAAGTTTTGATATGGAAGAAAAGAATTGCTGAGCCAGTCTTAGTGGATAACCAAGGAGGCAAAGGGTATGTTAGTTAGAAGGGGTTTTTATGACTTAGAGCAAAGGATAAACCCACCTCAAACAAGATGTTTTTACCAAGCAGAAAGATAGCACAGGCAAACAAATCAGCAGATGTTGCAAGTAGAAAAAAGGTCTCAGAATTTTCCACTTCAAGAAAACTGAAAAACAACTTCTAGCTTAAACTGCAATGTACTAACTTTTAGTGATTGGGGAATAGTAGCATGAATATGGTAATTATAGTAGTTATGATAGGCTATAGATAAAAGTCAAGGTATAGATTGGTTCTACTGTGTTAAGATGCTCAGCAAAGAGAAGTATATAATGCATTTGTAACCTAAGCTAAGGGTCCCCAGGCCTGCCTGCAGCTGACAGCTGTAGGCACAGGCCGTGTCACCCATGACCCTGGACTGCTGTAACATCTTGGATACAATAAACTGCCTTTGGAAGAGCTGCCTGGAGTCCCACATCTCTCATTATGGCTCTTACACCTGTGGGGGTGGGCAGGCCCTGGCACAAGGTGCCCAGAGAAGCTGAGGCTGCCCCTGGATCCCTGGCAGTGTTCCAGGCCAGGCTGCATGGGGCTTGGAGCAACCTGGGATAGTGGGAGGTGTCCCTGCTCATGACAGGAGAGTGAAACTAATCACTCCAGGTTTTTGTAATTCTGTGTATTGCAGCTGCAGAGGAGCTGCAGGAGGCTGGCACTTTGCTCCTGATCTTTTTCACCCTAGGTGTGACACAGTGCCAGCACAGAAAGCCTCAGACTGTCCACTGGCAGCAGCAAGTTGCAATGAATGGGATGATTTTGTAAGGAATTGCTGCTGCAAACTCCAAACCAAAATACTTAATGCCATGGAAGAGCTGGGGTTTCTGGTTCCCTGTACCCCCTAATTGGGTCAGGCTTTCAGACAGCAGGCACTTACCCATGCTGAAAGTCTGGCATCAATGTAAAGTCAGGCAATTGAAGATCCCAGGCTGCAGGATGGTTTTTTGAAAAGGTAGGCCTGGGGCTCCATATCGATCAATCATTATTCTAATTGTTCATTTCTATTATGGTGGGAATCATTCAGAATCCTGGAGTTCCTGGGAGTAAATCATTTGGAAATGCTGCCCATTATAAAATTTAATTTTAAATCTATATTAAATAGATTTATAAAGGCAAGCTTTGCAATCTAGTAACAGAATATTATGCTGCCTCACAGAGGCTCAGCTTTTGGGTCCTGAGGGGCCAGGGCTGGGAATGAGAGTTGGGAATATCATGGGAGCCAGGATGCTGGACCAATCTTTCTTTCTCTTTCAGACACCAGAGAAGAGGGGAAAGGAAAGCAAAACTGTATTTGGAGGCCCAGTCATCAGCTCATTATATCAAGAAGAAGAAATAATCAGGTGATTATTTGTGCTGGAATTCAGATAAAAACTGTGTTTTTCTAATGTCGTTTTTTAAGCTTTTTTTTTTTTAATATTGCACAAGTGTGGTGGCAACTACAACAGGATAATAAATGACAGGAAAGAACTTTTCAGGTCCATAATCATTTAAATCAATATCTGCCTGTATCATTGCCAGGTACTAACCTTTCCCTAGCACAAGATGTGGGGGAAGGGCAAGGCTTCCCATTTTTCAGTTATATGGCTTTAAAAAAAAGGCAATATTGGATATTTTTAATAGAAAGCTATTCAGGCACTACCTTTTTCAAGTAGTTATTTCTTTACCAATGCATTCATTAGGGACTGTTCAGTGAAGGTTTTAGTGTTGGACAATGTTTGCCTTCAGGGACAGTTTGTGCCTTATATCAAATTAATTTTTTTCTAGGCTCTGCAGCTAGAAAAGCCAGCTCTGCATTTACTGAACTAGAGTGGATGCTACTTAAAACTGTCAAGGTGCAAGTAATAAGTGACATTAGCTGCTGAATAAGGACACCTGAATGGTTTTTGTTCGGTTTATTTTTTTGCTGTTCTAGGCTACTAATCATGGGTATAATATTAAACTCCAATACCTAAATGATTTTCTGGAGGAATTTTTAGAATACTGTATCATATTTTTAGTTAAAATGAGCAGTCAGAGAAGACTAAATTTTTGACAGTGTTTCCTGTCATGTAGTCACCCATTTACATGTGTATGATCCCATTTTTTAATGAATGTCTTGCATCTTTTTACATCCAGGAAGTGTGAACACTGATTTCTCAACATGCAGTCTCCAGCTGAGAACTTACCTAAAGAGTTAAGTTAAAACTCTAGCACAGCATTTCTTTGACTTGTTGTCACAAGGCAAGGAACAGAAATGTTGATCAGGTGGCTCCAAACGCTTTGCAAAGAGCTCAGGTAGGAATGGAGGCAGCTGTTGTGAGCAGGCAGGGTGGCAGATGTGTGCTTGGCAGTAATGCAGGCATTTCCCTCGGGATTGCAATCCACTTTGGAGTGGAGTGGAGGGGAGTACTTGGCCAGGAATAGCTTCCTCTCCTTGCATGGAGAGCCAGCACATCTTTGAGTTGTCCTGGCCCTTGAGCAGAGGTGGTCAGGTGTGACCTTGGTTTAACACACTGAGGAAAGGCACTTCTGCTGACCACCAGCTCCTTTTTTGTCCCTGCTCCATCAGTGCAGTCTCAGCCAATATCCTTGATCTCACAGCTTGACTTTGTGGCTTAAATCCTGTTCAAGCTCTCCTTTTAGGGGTAGAGCAAATCCCTACAGTGCTGTCAGAGTCTTGCTTATCCCAAGTGCTGCCTATGTCCTTTCTTGGGTTTGAAATACAGAATAATGTACAGAAAAACAGAGTTTGCTCTGGTTGACTTGACCAGCCATGAATCTTTTCATGTGTTTGTTTTTATTTCCAAGAGTACATCTGCAAATACATTTTTCCAAACATACCATGAGGAACATAGGTGCAGTTTGTTTAGCACAGCACAGCTGTCCTTACAAATGAGGCTGTAGGCAGATGCAGTCTCCCACATAGCTGGAATAGGGTGATTCTGCTAAGATTTGTTGAATGAAGTGTCCTGACTCTGCTGGCAGAGTGGAAACTCATGTGTCCATCAGCTCAATTTGACTGCCAGGCATCAGTGTCTTCCTTGCAAGACAGGAATGAGCAAGTGTCACCATCATCTATCCACAGAGCCAGACAGCTTCACATTTCCTGATTCTTTTGTCTACTCTTCATTCTCTTCCTGGAAGAGGGAATAAACATACAAGTATAGGCACACCTCTAGTGTGATAATTCCACTCATAAAAGCATAACCTTAAACAGCAAGATTGCTCTGGTACCAAACCTGCAAGCTGATAAACCAAAGAGGGAGTGGCTCTAAACAATAGGTTTGGTGTCCAGGTTTGTCTAGAGCAGGTATTGGTTCCATAGCTTTACAGAGGAAAGGTGACTTTTGTGAGGCTGTGAGTGGTTACTTAGAAAAACATAAGCTTAGCATTCCGTAATACTTCACAAAACAGAATGTTATAATAAAAACAAATAAGGCATTTTCTGTAGAGGAAGAACATGAAAAATTTTAAGGGGAAAGAAAACTGATTAGCTTGAGTCAAGATGAACTTTAACACATTGATAGCTCTGGGTAAGTCCTGTGCTGTCAGTTCAGAGGGTATGTGTGTGCTCCCTCAAAACTGCTATCTGAGAAAAGACACGTCAGTGCCAGACTCTTTTATTGACTGAGTGGGTCCAACAAGCTTGCAAAAATTTGAATAGAAATCAAACCACTTTAGTTTGTTTCCCAGCGCTATTGATAGCATAAGTATTTTCTTGTTACAGGATCACTAAAGAAGCCCAGAATAAGTGAGAAAGCCCCTTATTTTGTGTACTAAAAGCTAAAACTCGAGTCCTCATCAGCCCTGAGTCCTGACAGACTGCTGGAAGCAATTTCTCAGTAGGTATTACTCTGCCAAACACAGCCTACCATGTGCCCTTTAGGATTCTGCTGATCCAAAGGCAGGAAAAGGCTGCTGATTTATCTGGACCTCTGCTTGCACCAGGATAGAGTCAAGAATGCAGGTGCAGAGTTCTGAAGGGTCACCTAAGCAGGTTCACTTGTTTTATTCTTTACCAAAATCTTTTGAACAGTTTAAGTTTATCAAACTATTAAAGCCCTCCAAGCTGTTGCTGTGTAGTATGAAGAGGAGAGGTTTTGTTTTAAATAGAATAAACCCCTCGTTTGCCATCAGCAGTAGTTAACAACAAAGCAGCAGTGCCATTGATTTCAAACTGAGTGTCTAAAATTATGCCTAAATAATGCTTACATTCCTTTTGTGGAATGAAATGCTTGGGGTTTAGGACACATCTAAATGATGGACAAAGTGAAGTTACCATACTCTGTCCTAAAGTGGATCAGCAGTAGGAGGAACTCTGGTGGTGCCAGGGCCACTTTTTTTCCTTATCACTAATTATCTCAAATGTCTCTAATTGAGAACAAGATAGAAAAATGGTCAGTCTGGCTCACAGTACATTGCACTGATTCCAAATAAATCCAAGAGCATCCACAGAAACAGGTTATACCGATCTAATTAAATCAATTTAGAAAGAGATTCGGGTAAATCAGTGCAATTTGTGTGTTCATAGATCAGCCCTCAAATCAGGAGAAGGTCTCTTGAGCTAATGAGGCATAGCAGTTATTTACTTTGGGGTACTGGGCACTGGTCATCAATTAGGAGTCATTAATAAACCCTGGCAATAAAGAGCTCAAATACCCCCAGTGAGTAATGGGGAGCAGTTGCAGGATGTATTAGCATAGTGCTCTGCCTCTGGGTTTCTCTGCAAATCACTTATCTCCCCTCAGGCATTGCATAAAACTCCTGCATGCTGGTGTCTGATGATGGGACTTGGAGGTTCCCTTGGAAGGAAAAATTTAGAAATCATCAGTGATTTCAGGCTGGGTATAGTAGTGGTTTGGTTTTTTTTACTGCTTCATAAAGCTTTATGTCCCTTTTCTGGTCTTATTACCAGAACAAAGCAGTAGTAGTGGAGCTCTTTCATGATCAAAGCACTATAATTGGAGTTTCACAAACCTGGGACATGATCAGTGATCTGAGGTTGACTGATGTGTTACCAGTATAAATCTCATCCAAGACACAATCTGAGAGATATGCCAAAAATACCACAGCCTTGGAAATTCAGCTTTATTTTTCAGGGTTTTTTTAAGCCAGGGCAAGGGGTAGGCAGTTTATAAGTGTTTTCAGGAAACAAATACATTGATCTGGCAGGTGGAGAATGAGAAATAACATTGCCAAATGCCCGTGTCCCTTTCCACTTCCACTGGAGGAGCCCTCCTGCACTCTGCCACGAGCTGCTTCCTCAGGGCCTTGGCATGCCAGCATGGGAATGACACCTGCCAGTCAGCACAGAGGCCTCCCCGAGCCGTGTTTTACTTCTTCCATCCAGAGGGATGCCGAAAAACCCCTTTTCTGGTCAAAACTACCACCCTTCCCCAGACATTTGGGAGCAATCCCAACCATGAGTGGGGCAAACATTTAGGACGTGGGTGTGGAGCAGGCACCCCTGGTGTGCAGGACCTGCCTGCTGCCGTGCAATCCATCAGAATTGTATTAATCCCACTAACGCAGCCGCCATCTGGTCCCGCTGCCGGGCCGGCTCGTGCGAGCCCCCGTGATGGATGGCCTTGGGAATTGATTAGTTGTTGTGCGAGACAAATGAACTGTTTTGGCAGAAAATACCAGAGGTCGCTGCATGTGGTCAGGCACAAAGGCTGCTGAATTTTAAAGAGCTGCTTCCAGCATCCATTGCAAGGATGCTGCTTCAGAGCAGCGAAGGCTTTTGGGATGAGCCCAGTGCTCCAGAGCACAGTTGGGGTTTTGTTATCTCCTTCCAGCCCTGCTTTTGAGAACACCAGCACTGGAAATGAGTGTAAAGCTGCAGGGACGTGTGGCATCCGTGTTGGGAATTACGGGCTGGCGTTGTGTGTGTGGGTGGCTGCGCCACAGATGTGTCACTCACATAAGTGCTGGGCTGTGCAATCCCTGTGGAAGGGCTTTCCTGGTTCTGTGGAGCCCACGGTGTCATCAAGCAAAACACTTGCAGGTCCTGGCAGCTGGGACTTGGGGTTTTTTCAGGTCCATGTTCCTCCTGGTGATGTTCAGCAGACGAATCTTTTGACTTTAAGATGATTGCCAAGTTTATTGCTTCCCTCCTTTTTACTGTCCCGGGAGCAGTGACCTTTGGGGCTTTGCTTTGTTGTGCAAAGGGCTCAGGCCTGCCTTCCCTCTGGAGAGCCCATCCTTCTGTGGTTGCTCCCACTGGGCATTTTTCCAGCCGCCTCCTGTGCGGTGCTGCGCCGAGCGCGTGCGGTGGGTGGGGAATTGGATGACACATGTCCCGCCATGTCCCGGCGGCTGTCCAAGGGATGGCACACGAGTGTGCCGGCAAGTGGGCAAC